TACAATGACTGCACATCTCTAGTCTCTCCATGACGGCCTTAAGATGTAATTGTGGAGCATCTGCTGACCCCGGAACACAGAAGGTTCACCGAGATCCTCCTCCTGACACGTTTCACCTAAGCAAGGATCAGCCATAGACCTACTACTGAACCCCGGCTGGGTGAAGTGCGTCAGCGTGAGGGGGGGTCTCGGTGGACCTTCTGTGTTCAGTTCAATAAAGTTTATTGAAGCTGATGTCATCAGAGTGCAGCCGGTCTCTTTGCGTTTTGGGGAGCTGGGCAGAGCATGATGAAGCCCCCACCTTATCCATGGATGTGGGCGGAGTCGGGCTAAGGAGCAGCTTCTGATCTGCTGACCACATCTGGTTATTAGGAGCCGGTGAGCCGGGAGAGAGTTGGCTGCACTCCTTGCTTTGCTCAACCCGTAATCCTCCAACAAGATATACTGGATGCCCCCCCAACCCCGGCATGCATGCCCAACTCACCGGAATGGGACTAATGTAGCACTTTTATGGTCACTCGGCGAGGACCATGCGTGCCGCGAGGACCATGCGTGCCGCGAGGACCATGCCTTACACTACACTAAATGAACTCCCTCTGTGTGCATCATCACCTTCTGTGTCCGCCCCGCTGTCCGTGTGTGTGTCACCGTGGAGCCCGGTCCGGGATCTTCCACTCGCAAAAACTGTTAAAGCGAATCGCGCTCTTACCTGTTCTCCCCCCCAAAAAAAACTTGCAGCGAATCCTCTCCAATGTTCAAACTGTAAATTTGCATCTCCACAATATAAACCCTTTGAAGCTGCAGCAGCCACCCTGACCTAGTCTTCATTTACTGTCTGAGTGACTTCAATCGTCATCAATCCCTTCTCCTCCTGATCTGTACTGTTGTTGATTTTGCTTCTTAAAGTTGTTATCTTCATTTGCCAACAATCATTTCTGGCTGTTTGTCATAGGTGGGCGGGATCTTTGGGGAGGGCGTCCGTCTCTGTAGCGCTGTTCCTGAGCGTTGTATGACGGAACACATCCGTGTCCTCCCTGTGGACATGCATGCTCAGACCTAAGCAATGCGGGCTGCTGATCGGTTGCGTGAGTGTAATTAAAAAAACTTATCAGCAGAATGCACAGCTACCGCCTGCAGCGGCCAGCAGAGGGTGCATGTCTAGAGGGATGCCGGGGGGTGCGTCCTTTTATATCATGCTCCAGGCAGGGGGCGTGACCTTTCCAGGAGCATGGCAGCCCCTCCCACCAAACATGATCTTACGGAAAGACCTAGTGATGACGTCACTGGTTCCCGAAAAAGAGGTTTTGCTTGATCAGGATGGGGGAGGGGAAGTTATTTTATGGGGACTGGATCAGAGCATGCAACCAGGTACATCCAATCCCATCGCAGGTCGGGTTCCTTGTGCAGGATCCAGAACCACCCCGTCCATGAAGCCGGTGAAGGGGGATCGCTGGTTGTGATGAGATTGTATCAGCCCGGATACAAAACAGCCAATGACCACCCGGGATGAGGACGGAGCTGAAAACCTGGAGCCAAGCACCGCCCCTTATACGGTTTGGGTACCGCCCCCTTCCGCAGAACTCTCACCCCCCTTCACCGCTCTGATAAAAGGGCAGGGCCCTGAAACATGTCAGTGGTGGTGGCTTGGCTCTGGTTCACAACTCGGCCCCCATGTAGGAGATAATATTGTGCCTGGGAGGATCGGAGTCCCCGCCTGCCGGAGGGTGAGGATCGGAGTCCCCGCCTGCCGGAGGGTGAGGATCGGAGTCCCCGCCTGCCGGAGGGTGAGGATCGGAGTCCCCGCCTGCCGGAGGGTGAGGATCGGAGTCCCCGCCTGCCGGAGGGTGAGGATCGGAGTCCCCGCATATGGAGAAGACAAGGGGGGAGTGTAATCCTGGCCTATGATGACAACGCTGCTCCTCCATAGATACAGCACGGTGAGTCAGCGTTGTCACCCGAGGACAGGAAGTGTGTCACTGGCAGGATCACCGGGAGAAAAGGATGAATGAATCCGTGGCATCCAATGACGGGCACGCTGCAGCATGTGACATTTTGGTGGCGTAAATACACTTTAGGCCCCTTTACATTTTTGTGACGCATTATCGCATTTTCCCTTTTGAAGTAGACATCTGTCACGGTGACTGACCAATAGGAAGGCTCAGGAGTTGGGCTGGGCGGAGGCCAGAGTGGGGATTGGCATGTGACTTCAGCCGCCTGTCGCTCTGGAACATCTGCGGATAGTTTGCCCCGAAGGTCATCGCCGCTCATGGATTGTTTATTCATCACAAGCTCGGCTTGACTTGCCCGGTGACAGGTCCTCTTTAGCGCTACCTTCACCTCCCCCTCAGCACCATTTGTCTTCCGGAGCCCTAGGAAATGCTTATGTGTATGTAAGAGAATGGGACCGCCCCCTTCCTTCTGCAGTGCGGTGCTCAGCCAATCATCGGCCTCCCAGCCTTGTCACATGGGTGGCGGGCGGGCAAGGTCATCACATAACTGAGTGCTATCAAGAGAACCTGTCCCCCCGCTGTGGATGCACAATGGAAGGAAGATGGGGGCTGCCATTGCCGACCACCTTCTGAACATGCTAGTTCCCCGGCTGTGCGGTGACGTCGAGAGTGGGCGGTCCCGGCGGGACGTTTAAATACCGAACCTCTGGCTGCTGCAGCTGGAAGTCATTCATTTAGTGGAGATATCCCTCCTTGGTTGCTAGGATGCTGCCGCCCTCCAACCAAAGACAAAAGCAAAATCATGTCGTCCCGTCCCCCCCCCAAAACAAAAAACAACCCCCCAAATCCATACCAGACCCTTATCCTAGAGAGAGGTCTGGTATTGATTTTAATGGGGTACGCCACGCAGAATAAAACACAACGCATGGTTCCCCTTCCAGTGGCGTAACAATCGCCATAGCGACCCAAATGGCCGCTTTGGGGCCCGGCCAGGACATCCCCCTGATGCCGTGCGGGCCGGCTGGGTCGCTATGGCATCTCAGGCCGTCACTGGCGGCTGTAAGGAGGAACCTGTCGCTGTTCAGATCACCAACATCCTGTCATCCGTGCAGCGGCGCGTTCCTCCTCACAGCCGCTGCTGAGTCAGTGACAGCCGGCAGCAGCTGCGGAGGAGGAAGGCTGGGCCCGGCGTCAGAAGCGGAGGAGGCGGGCCCAAGGATGGAAGAGGAGGCGTGACCGGGTGATGGAGGAGGCGTGGCCTGCCAGCGACCATGGAGGCGGACAGCGGATCGGGGCTGACAGATAAGAGATGTGCAGCCCACCTGAGACCCTAGGGAGTCTAT